AAAAGGTCGAGAAGGGAGAAGGTTGACATGTTGTGGGGTTGTTAACCAATGTCATAAAACAATATGTGTACTACTGTTTCATGAGAAACTATTTGTTTTGTAAGCCTTCACCTGAATAAAAAAAAAAAAAAAGAAGTCCTTTTAAACCCATACCATGGGTTTGAACGCTAACCTGCATTGCTTATCACAACAAACACTTACCTTCTTTTTCCTCTGGCAGCTTTGTTAAATACTGAAGGATATTCATCAAGCTTTGTATTTGATGCTGGACACTAAATTCACAACAGACTGAAATCCAAAATTCAGTGTCTGCCTCTAATACAGCATCCTGTACGGAGAAGAGAAAAGGTAATAATACAGAACCTTTCGAATTTACACTAATTAATAAGTACAAATAAGGGGAAACATTTATAAAATACTCCTTAACGTGTAAAGTCACTACATACTGTTCCTTACGGTCATATATATCACCAGATACATAACAGATATGGAGCTCCTTACATAAAAGAGCCAATTTATGAGAATTACGAGGGCACCACTCCCATATATTTGCATTACGGTTTCTAGCAGAACTGAATATACTAGTTTACTTTGAGTAGGTCTAGATCTACTACTAGATCCCAGGTTGACTAAGAAGCAATCTAAGCATAGTCCTTGAAATGTATCACCTCATGGCTTAACCGACTTCAATGATGCTGATACTGTCCAAAACATGTTTACAACACCAAGTGTCTTCAAAATCACTTTTAAGAAATATACCATAGTTTAATTACTTTACAGCCATGTCTTGTTGGGCTTAAAAATAAAATCACCTAACATGGCATCAGACTTTATTCTTAGAAAAGTCAAATCACCTTCAGAAGATGTTTTGCTGCTACTGAGGATATTCAGAGTGCCACAGGCTCTGAAAGCAATTTTAAAGAATGCAAAAAAATAAACAAAAGGTTCTGAGCAAGCACTGTCAGATAATGTATATAACCAGCCCCATATTTAAACTGGAAAGTATCACAAAACTTGTGTGAACCATAACCGTTTCCCTTTTACCACCTCATCCTCTATTCTGACCTTTTCTCCATAGGCAGCTGCCAGCACCGTTTTAGTGACGTACTGTTCAAAGAACAACAGGAGGAGGACCCAGAGGAATTTCTCTGCACCTAGTGTGTCAACAAGTTGAACAAGGATGGGCAGGCGCCTGTGTTCTGGAACATGTGGCAGCGCATCCACAAATACACTAATGATCTTTACCACGATTTCTTCAATGTTTCTTGTGACTTCTACAGAGTCTCCACCATCAGACTGCAAAACAGCAGGCAGGACAATGAATAAGAGCAAATAACCCACCACAAAATGAGCTTCAAGTGAACGAAAAAAGGCCTTGAGACATACCAAAAAAAAAGTCATCAAAAGACTTTTGATAAGCAAAGACCTATCAATAAATATTCAGTGAGTATCCATTATGTCCTACGCACTGTCTGGCCATGAGGGGAATATGAAGAATAAGATGTGAGCCTGCCCCCAAAGAGATTTATGATCTGTCTGAAACAAGATACGTGAAAAGATGACGGCAGGAAGCAGTAAACGGCAAGTGCCAAACCTGTGGCACTGACAGCGAGTCTGCTCTCAGGCAGTCTGAGAGGGCCACACAGATCAACCAGGACTTACGTGGGGCCTCAAGAGGAACAGGCATAATCTCCATAAGCAGAGAATACACCCTATTGCTGTCAGAATAAAATTCAAACTGTTTTACTCTGGTACTGGTGTTCCAAATATATTTGTTAAACACATACATAAATACTTGAATGAATGAATGAATACTAAATTAACACCTTTTTCTTCCACCTACCTCAACTCTCTGCTCTTTGCCAAACAAGCACGTTACATCCTTTAAACATACCATGCACGTTCCTAGACCACGCCACTTCTCAGGCTATGGACTCCGCCAACTCACTGAGCAAATCCTATCTTCCCTTCACACCAGTTCAAATGCTACTTCCTACAAAACTTTTCTGGTCATCCTGGCCCACGTGGGCTTTTCCCTATTCTGAACTTTTCAGCATTTACTTATTCCATTGGCACCTATCAAATTAAAGCATAGGTATTTTCCTTTTTATGTATATGTCCTGTACTAGCCAATACTGGATGCACAGAATCCTAATACCAAGACTTAAAGGAGAAGGTACTCAGTAATTACTTGCTGAACATGGCATCCCAGGAATGGTTGACAGTATGAGAAAAGACATTAACAACATATGAGTATAAACATAAAACTCAAGTAGACAACCAATATCTTTACCACTGAGGCTACTTTTTAGTTTCAAATTGATTACTCCTTAATGGTAGAGACTAAGTGTCACTTATCTCTTTGAGTACTTAGCTCTTAGAACAACTGGTAAATGGCTGTTGAACTGCATATTAACAAATCTGCCATTGTAGCTCTGAAACATCCTATCTTGAGAACATTAACGATATTACAATGAAATTGGATAAGACAAAATACCACAAAAGGATATTACCATGAAATTGATGCAATGTTCTGAAATACCCAGCAAAGGTCAATTTGCTTTGTCAGGATAATAAGACAGTTTTATATTTATACCCTTGCAGCACAGCAGGACCAGCTATGCATGTTTATTCATATTCCTGGAGAAGGCATGATTTCTAAGACTGCTCCTTAGCTTCATCATTCTAAAATTTAAGAGGTACAAGTACTTGAGCATTTCCTAAAGGCTTTTTTAATGCTGTATATTTACTACTACTTGAATTTCATACTTTGAAAATTTTTGGAAAGATTAAAAAAAAATACTAATGATGGTATAAAGACAGCTTACCTGAATAAGCGCTGGAATAACCATTTTTACTGTCTTGTTAATAACTTGAAAACTGTAAGTATCATCTAGACGCATGACATTGGCTCCCATAAATGTAAAAATAGACATGATATTGTGTAGAACTTTATCCTGCAAAAAAAAAAACTATCAATATTTTCTATTTTAAATACGCCAATATCAATGATTCATTACAACAATAAAAAGGCAAATAACCCAATTAAAACATGAGCAAAGGATTTGAAAAGACCTTTCTTCAAAGATATACAAATGGCCAATAAGCACATGAAAACATGCTCAAAGTCATTAGTTATTAGGGAAACAGAAATCAAAGTCACAATGAAATACCACTTCACACCCACTGGGCTGGCTATTATCGAAAAGACAGAAAATAACAAGTGTGGCAATGATGTGGAGAAACTGGAACCCTCATCCATTGCTGGTGGGAGTGAAAATGGTGCACCCACTTTGAAAAATAACTCTGGGAGTTCCTCAAAAGTCAGACAGAGTTAGCACATGATCCAGCAATTCCAATCCTAGATATAAACCCAAGAGAACTGAAAACCTATGTACATACAAAAGCTTGTACATGAATATTCATAACAGCATTATTCATAAGAGCCAAAAGGTGAAAACAACCCAAAGTCCATCAGCTGATGAATCCCTGATAAACAATATATGATATACCCACATGATGGAATATTATTTAGCCATAAAAAGGAATGAGGTACTGATTCATGCTATAACATGGATGCATCTTTAAAACACGCCAAGTGAAAGAGGCCAGACACAAAAACCCACGTATTACATGATTCCATTTATATGAAATGTCCAAAGTATATAAATCCATAGAGACAGAAAGCATATTAATGGTTGCCAGAGACTGGGGGGAGGGGGGAACGGGAGTGACTGCTGATGGATACAGGGTTTCTTTCCGAGGTGATGAAAATGTTCTGAAATTAGATAGTGGTGATGGCTGCACAACTTTGTGAACGTACTAAAACCACTGAACTGTGCACTTTTAAAGAAAAGAAAATCCCCCACACATAAAATTTTGCACATGATTTCCACAGATGAAATGAACCCTAGAGCTCATGGAGAACCTGTGTTCTAACTCTCTAAGAGGAAAAGAGTTTAAATCTCTTTTTTAAATGATCTTTTTTACATAAGGGACATGATTTCTTTAACTGAGGTAGTTTACAAAGGAGCCCTGGTTGCACAGTGGTTAAAGTAATGGACTGCTAAACGACAGGTTGGTGGTTCGAAACCACCAGTGGCTCCGAGGAGAAAGCTGTGGTAGTCTGCTTCCGCGGAGATCAAAAGCCTCAGAAACCCTATGGAGTTGCTATGAGTCAGAATCGACTCGAAGGCAGTAGATATGGAGGTAGTTTACAATCAGTTTTCTTTAAGTCACTGTTGAAAGCTGTTTAGAAGGATCAGCTATCTAAAGCAGCCTACAGCTCTCAGTCTGACCTATCTGAGGATTACTGGGGCATTATCTTTTCCCAAATAACACTAATACTCACTACCACTTACAGTGTGCCAGGCATCGTGCCAAGTGCTAACCATAGGTTATCCAATCAAATCCTCGCTACAATCCTATGAAGAAGATTTCTACCATCCCCACTTTACAAAAAGGGAACTGAAGTTTAGCAAGATCAGCCTGCTCATATTGTCCTGCTATTAAGAGAAAGGGTTGAGATTTGTATGATTCAAAGCCAACTGAATTTAAACCATTAAGTGCCTCTGCACTTCCATGGAAGAAAGAAAATACCTGAGATTTCTGCTGAAGTGTTAACTCATTAATACTTACGGGAAATATTCCAGCAACAGTACCCAGTAGTAAAAGGGCATGATGATGGGTTTGAGGCATCTCAGAAAGGCGGATGCACTGGACTATCAATTCCACATTGAATTTTTCCTCATCTAGAATATCTACAGTGGTGAGAAATTAAAAAAAAAAAATTAAAAAATGTGTAAGTGGGAGGTACATTTACACCCAAAGCAGATCATTGTTTTACCTTTTCCTTCAATCAAACGATATACCTTTTGGTATTTTGCCACCATCTGGAGAGAGTTTTTGGCAGATGTTGAGCAGACAACTAAGAATTAATTGTTTGGTGTATTCCATATTCCCCTGCTCCAACAGCGAAGGTTCTAAACATCTTCAGACCCCCCGGAAAAGAGATAATAGAAAATGAAAAACTTGTACAATTTCAGCGTCATATCATGACCATTGCTCAGAATTCATATCAAATAAGGAACAACTAAATACTAACATTAAACATAACTATATAAGTCTACATTTTCTCATATAGGCCAGTGCTTATGTCAAATTCCATCAGCCTATATGGAATCTTCGAGGAAAACCTTGAGAATTACTTTGTTTTTCAGATGGAAGTACATATTCCACAATTCAATGGCATACCCTAGAGATATCTGCTAAGACTTTATACCTAAAAAATACAGCAGGTGTCACTCTGTATCTTTAAATACAAGTAACAATGCCCCAAAAGACTACGCAGTCTTCTCAGGGTCATGGCATTCAACTTTAAAAGGACATTTCCTACGTAATGAAGAATGACGATCAGTTTGGGGCACTGACAATGGGTACCTAAACCTGTTCTTTTAATCTTTCAACTACAGTACTTAAATTGCTTGATTTTATAGACTAGTTGAGCAAAAAAGAGTATGATGAAAAGAGAAAGTTAAACGAAATAAGATTGGCAAGAATTAAAATCCTATTCTGTCTCAGGTCAAAGCTAAGCATCATTACCTTGAAAGCAGGTTAAAAAGAGTTGGTATCAATATCTGAGGACTTTTGAGTTTCTTTTTGTGCTGCAGTAATTCTAGAATGAGGGTTACTCTTTGCCAATAAGAACCTTCCACTTCCTGAGCAGATTCTAGATCTTGCGATTTCCTGGAAAACAGATCAGATAAAAAGTTGGAAAAAGCAAACACTATAAAGTTAAATAAAAACTATCATGCCCTATTATGCCAAAGTGATAGATATTAAAAAGTCACAATGGTTTTGTAACATTCCAGGTCCTGGAGAACAACAGCATGTTCTTATTGCATTCATACTCTTACTTCTGCTGCATTTTTTGTCTTCTTGTTTGCTGAATTGTGCCCAAGGATTTAGCTTTATCCAGTGGCTCCAGTTCTATTCTGACTTGTTCAGCATTAACAGAAATCTAAAATATTAAAGTAAGAATAGTTGATGATACAATCCCATGGGACAAAATTAGAGTAATAAATACTGATTAAAAGAAACACAATGAAAAGTTTTGCATTCACCTATTTATTTTCTCTCTCCCTACCACTCTATAGAGTTCAGCCCATTCCCCAAAGGCAAATAAATATCGTCAACAATTTCAAATGTATCCTTTGGGAAATTTTCCATATTCCAAGAGCTGCATATAAAGATTTTTTAAAAAATTGCATGTATACATAACGTTCTGTATCTTGATTTGTATCTTGGAAATCTACTCATATCAGCATGTATTTATTTCATCATATGGTGTACATTTATTGTCACAAAGTGTAAGAAACGGTGTTTCTTGTATTTTGGTAATCAAAATAATCTGTATACAGAAAAATGCAGCTGCCTTGCATTTCAGGTCAACCTTACCTCTGGCTGCTATGGAATGTCTAACAAAGATCTCATCTACCCTCTAGCTGGCTATCTACTGAGATGGAGGAACTCTGATTAACGCTTTCCTTGCAAATGCTTTAGAATGTCCCCTTTTGGGCTAAATATTAACTCAATTCAATCAGCATTTAATTAGCACTGTGCCCAAAGCCTGTGAAACATATGCTGTTATCTTTGAGAGCTTCTCTCATTTTTTCCCACATTCCTTTCAGAAATTATCCCATAATAAGGTTCACTCAACTGAGGGCTCATTCTTCCCACTATTTGATTCTACTACCTAATTACAAGCTTCCTTAAAAACAAGAATGAGAAAAGAGAAAACTGGGAGAGGGTATTAAAAAAAACCCAACATAGCACTTGCAGACATGAATTCTTCAAGTGGCTATTTTGATAATACAGTTAGGTTTCAATATGCATATAAAACCAATGAGCAGATTCTCAATTCCATCATATATGTGCCATTATGCAACTATTTAAATCACGTAGAGTAATTCCCAACCTAGCTGAACACTGAGCCACTCACTCATTCCTATTTTTTACGTAAAACAGGTAGAGCTCACCTAGCATAAGTACAATCCAAACACACACACACTCATGCACATACAAATGTGCATACACACACCTCCTATCTAGTTTAAATTATAAATATTTCATGCAATAAAAATGAGGGTAAATACTTTTAATTTTGATTTTGTACTTCTCTATGACCTACTTTTCCATGATTCTTGTTAATGGTAACATTTGACTTTTTAAAAGTATTGTAAAACGGAGAATATTTAAACACACTGCGCTACTTGGAAGAGACTACACACTAATGAACAAATTACAGAAAGTTTGCAACTCACCCCTTTAAAAACACTGCCAACAGTCTGAGCACAATGTGTATTTTTACAGTTCACCAACAAATCAAACAGCATTCCCAAAAGCTTCTGCTGAACTTTTTGATCTGATATAGCTGCAAAAAATGGCTTCGTAATCTAGAAGTGTAAAAAAGGCAATTGAACTCAATGAACAAACTTGAACTCCAACAACGATCTTTGTAATACACCCTTATCAAATTCTCCCTCAAAATATAAAATTATTCCCCATTTTATTCTGTCAATTCTAATGCAATTCTTTTTAATTGCCCATGCACAACATTCAGTTTTGCAAAATGGGTCAAATATAGCATGTTCCTTTAGAACACATCCAGTCCACCAGTGACATTACACATTTTTTAATGACTGAAAATGCTTTAGTTTCTGCAAGAACTTACTCACCTTTTCGAGGGCTGTGATCTGAATGGTTGGCATTCCTGTGACAAGTTCCTTTGTTGTGTGCACAGCTTTCATGAATATATCTAGACTCACTGGGTCCTTATGTAAAAGCGAAGCTGAATATTCATTGTATTTTCCCAGAGTGAGATATAAAACAATGGCCTCGTCTTTCAGGACAGCTATAGGCTCCTTCTGGACCTTTTCTAGCAGTTTTTCAACCATTGGCAACAGGTGAGAAAGCACTACCTAAAGTTTGAAAAACTTCTTAGTAAATAGTTAAATATGCAGTTACCTATACTGATAAAGGTTTCTGCTTGCTTTTAAAGACATCCAAAGACAGTGTGCTGCAGGAGTAGAGGTTAGCCTGAAGTAAAAAAAAAATAATGACTATCTCTTAATTCACATTAAGACATACTCAACTCTTCTCTGATAGTTCCGTCTGTAATGTTCAAAAGCCCTAAATCATTCAAAGAGCAGAGAAAGACTCTTGGGAGTGTTCCTCAAAACTTTTTGAGAACAGAAAATAGAAATTAGATTTTTAGAGTCTAAAAATAAATTTAGCCTTGCCTAATATATTGTACGCTCCCCCAAGCAATGTTTCCAACTTGATATAGTTAACATTAATTCAATTATGCATGTGTACTCTTTAAAAACTAAATCAAAGGTCAGCAAATTATGGCTTGTCCACCTGTTTTTGTAAATCAGTGTTTTATGAAACACAGCCACGCTCATTCATTTATACACTGTCTACGGCTGCTTTCGAGCTACAATGGTAGAGCTTTGTACTTGCAATACAGACCGTATGGCCTGTTTGTTGTTGTTGTGTGCTCTCGAGTCAATTCCGACTCATAGTTACCCTACAGGACAGAGTAGAACTGCCCCATAGGGTTTCGTAGGCTGTAATCTTTACGAGAGCAGATCACCAAGTCGTCACCCCCCCCAACCCCCTCACCGATGCAGAGCTGCTGGTAGGTTTCAACCGCCGACCTTTTGGTTCACAGTCGAGCGCTCAACCACTGTACTACCAGGGCTCCTAAAATATTTACTGTGTGGTCCTTTTGAGAAAAAGTTTGTTGACTTCTAGTCTAAACTATACCACAGATAACACTGAGCTGATAAATGCCATGACTGCTTCCACCAGGAAAACACAATCAAATGGTCTTCACTCCATTTTATCCCATTATAGGTCTCCAAGTCTGCAGCTGGTCCAAAATTGAAGAGCAGAGGCATTTCTGGGACACTAGGATGATAGATCTTTCCTCTGCTGACCAGCACATATCATCATGTAAAGAAGTGTTTCATAACTTTTCTTTTATATCACAGTCTTCCTTGAGAACATAATGGAAGTTATGGATTTTCACCCCCAGAAAAACATACAAACAGATACATTTAAAAACCCAGCAGATAATTTTGGAATGTTCAGAGTTTAGGTTCAGCCACAGACCCTTAGGCCCCAATATATTACCTTCTGACGATTTTCACTTGAAAAATACACACCAGCCAATACTTCTTTCAGCAGTGCATCCTGACCATTTTTCCTTATGTGATTTTTAAATCTATTTAAAATCTAATTAGTGATTAGACACACTTAGTTTTAAAACTGAAATGAATTCACCACTACTTGCTTTTTGTAACCTGTACCTCAACTCATCTACCTCCCAAATTCAGTAAGAAAACGATCACTTCTGAGTGTACATGTATAACTCTTGCAAAGGTCTTCCTCATATGAGTAGGTACAATAATCCTTTAGAAGCACCAGATGGAACGTACAATTCACTTAAATCACACAGACCTCACTTAAATCACACAGACCTCACTGTTGACGTGCTGCAGTACTTTCATCAAATCTTTTGCGATATAAGATGGGCAATTATATACACAGTTAAGTAGGTGCTTCAAGGTTTCAGACAGCTTCTGATGAGATTTTACTTTTTTTTCTCTCTGTAGTTCCTCAAATAAAGTAGCCAAATCCTAGGATGCCAAAAAGAAAATGGGATTAATAAAGGTTAAGGAACTTCAAAGGTCAAATGTATTAATTATGGAAGATTCTTTTTCAAATGTTGTGACATTGTAACTTTTTATTTCCTCTTAAAACTCCACATTTAGCTTACTATCAAAAAAGCCAAAGGCTAGCCTTTTATGCAATAAAGACAGTAGAACTGAAATATATAGGCAATATTTTTACTTCCTTATTGTTTATTTCTTCAGAAAACATCTTTTAAATTTGCCTTTTAAGTAATATCCACACTCCTTCTAACTCAGTCTCAATGGTACTGCTGCCTTTTAAAACTGGCAGAGAAACATGTGCAGATACTCACATGTAAGTTTCTAAATTCAATGACTTAGCTGATCAAAATCCCTACAAAGAAAAATGTCAAGAAAAGAGAACACCGTTCATGTATACCCACAGGTGTGCACACACTCAATCTTCTTTGCACATGGGGTTTACCTGAACGACATAGGTGGCATCTGAGGTGATCTCCTCTGCTTTAGGAACCAAATAATCTATGATCAGCTGAAACTCGGACTGCACTGGGCTGAGGGCCTGGAGACACTGAATGGCAGCCCGACGTACTTCCTTTATGGGGCTTCCCAAATTAATGAGCAGTGATATCACTACTAAAACCAAAGGGAAAAAAATGTAAGTAACATCTTTAAAAATTGAAACAGTACAAAAAGGATATATAATAAAATTCTCCTCCCAACTCAAACTCCCTCTACACAAATGAGAGAACAGTATATACACTACACTGCACCATAATTCTGCATTAACTGCTATCACATCTCAATGTATTCTATATTTGAAAGTTTTCCAAAACATGTCTATGTAAATAAAACCATCCTTTCTAAATGCATAGTACTGCACTATATATTCCACAGTTTTTAAAATAGCACCTTACTGGTGAATATTAGGTTGTTTCTAGTTTTTGGCATTAAAACAATGTTGCAACAAACATCCCTGTACATACCTCCTCGCACAAGTGTGCAAAGGAAATTAGCCATCTGTCCATCTTGCTTTGTAACTATTTTGTCCCAGATTGACATTTGTTTTGAATTTATTTTTCCATGAAGAAATTTTATAGTCAAATTTTCCTTCTGGTTTTGTATGTTGTTTAGAATGGCCCTCCACAGTCCAGGTGCATTAAAAAAAGTACCTATTTCTATATTTAGAGACAGCGCATATGCACTCCCATGTTTTCTTCTTCTTAGAGCTACTTTTTTTTAATCTTAACTGTTTAATTAGTGTGAAATTTTTATGTAAGGAATGAGGTTGGGATCAAACTTTTCAATATCTCCAGATGGCTAGTCTGATGTTCTATGTAATAATCTATGCAATAATCCCACGGATCTGGTGGGATTAATGCCAGCTCTATCATATTCATATAATCCGTTAAGTATTTGAAATTTGTCTAAAACCATGTTCATTAATAGTGATGATGATAACAATCTTGTTACTGAATTTAATGGGAATGCTTTTGTTTCCCCAATTACGCAGTGAAAATGCTAGCGTTTGAGAAATATTTTTATTTTGTTAGTTCTACTTTGATGTCATTTTAATTAGGAATAATTACTGGTTTTTATCTAATGCCTTTCCAGATCTTTGGCTAGGATTATATGGCTCTTCTCCTTCAAAATATTGATATGGAGGTTCAGGGTCATGATTTCATGAGTTATCCCAGTTAACTGACATAACCCGTTTAGTGCTTCTGTTCTACCTCCTAGTTCACTGCATAGTGCCCAAGGGTCTTAAAAGCTTGCAAGTGACCATTCAAGGCACAACAGTTGGTCTCTATTCACCTAGAGCAAGAGAGGAAGAAGAAGAGTCAGGAATAGGAGGATACGGAATGTGTGGCTAATTGCCTCCATGAACAACTGCACCCTTTGCCATGAGACCAGAAGAACTGGATGGTGCCCAGCTACCATTACTGAACATTTTGATCAAAGATTCCATAGAAGAATCCTGATTAAAAGGGGGAAAATGAAAAACAGAATTTCAAATTCTCACGGACTTCAAACTTTCCGGAGCCATGGAGCGTGAATGAACCCCCGAAACTACTGTCCTGAGATAATCTTTAAACTTTAAACCAAAAACACCCCCGGAAGCCATTTTTAAAACCAAGCAATAGTTTAGCTTAATTAGTAAAAAAGGTCTGCCTTGAGCATTATGCTCTTTTAAGACTATCTACATGGGATCAAATTGACAACAGCAACTTGAAAGAGTAGATAGGAACCTTAGGGGGCAGTGAGTTTATGTTAATGAGGGAGGAACAACTCTGAAAAGGAGGGTAAGAATGGTTGCACTACTCAAAGAATATCACCAATGTCACTAAATTGTACATGTAGAAACTACTGAATTGGTGTATGTTTTGCCATGTATATTCTCAACAACAAAATAAATAGAATTTAGAAAAAAAATATTGATAATGGTCTATTATATCAACAGAGTTCCTAATATTGAACCAATTTTGTATTCCTGCAATGAACTCTAACTGGGCAAATGTTTCTTTTTTCAAATAAGCTGCTGGATTCTATTTGTAATTATTTTATTTAGGATTTTTGCATTAACACCCCTATCGATTATGGCCTATTGTTTTGTTTTTGTCTTTCTCAATTTTCATGTCAATATTATACTTGTTTTTAAACAAAGAACCTAGAAGCTTTCCTTCTCTCTCTATGCTCTATCCAGTTAAACAGCATTGGAATAACCTGTTTCTGGCAGAATACATCTGTGAGACCAACTGAACTGGGGTTTCTTTTGAAGAGCTATCTCTGGGACAAAGAGATATCTATACTTCTTTCATGGTAATTTGGTTACTTAGGCTTTATTTCATTCTATCTTCTGGGACAAATTCTGGTAATTTATATTTTGCTAGAAATGATCCATTTCATATATATCTTAGCCAAAGAATTTAATAAGAAGGCCACTTCTTAAATCCTAGGTCCCTAGGTGGCACAATTTGCACTCGACTCCTAACCTAAAAGTTGGTGGTTCGAACCCACCCAGTGGTACCACAAAAGACAAGTTTGGCAATCTGCTTCCATAAAGATTACAGCCCAGAAAAACCTATGAAGAAGTTCTACTCTGTAACGCATGGGCTTGCCATGAGTCGGAATCAGTGGGTTTAGTTTTGGCGTCTTAAATTCTATCAAAGAAGCTTGGCAAGTTTTCAAATCTGTCTGAGAAGCCCAGATCACTCTATGGAAGCTGGAAATCATTTCTGGTCTCTATAAGGTTAATTTATAAAACAAAATCAGAAACAAACTGTTGGAAAGTTGAATTCACACAGGGGGCAGCTTTAGGCCAAGACATTTGTTAAATATGCCTTGTATAGTGGAGCAGAGCTTGCAGACAAATTCAAATTCGAGACAAATTCAAAGTACTAACTACTATGGTTACCATGTTCAAATAATGTACTACCACCCAATATAAGTCAAAGCTACATTATTTAAGCAATCAACTTTTACTAACTTTTCTATTTTAAAATGTATGTGGAAAAAAGAGAGAGGAAAAAAAAAGCAATGGGAGACTATTATTTTCATTCAAGGCAGTTTAACTTTTCAGATGTTCTTGAAAAGTAAAACTAATAGATTAATATTGATCTCAATGTGCTAGGTTATGGAAAAGTTAATTTTAGATGATTTATCAACCAAATAAAGTACATTTTGCTTACCTTAAAAAAAAAAAAAAAACTATGTGACTCCAACTAATTTTATTAAGATTTAAAATTGGGTATTTTATATAAAAATTTGAGTTTTGCTTTCAAACATGCAAGTAAACTTACTATATTAATTACTAAGTAAAGGCAGCCACCGTATTACAAATGATAGAACAAGTTTTATTTATTCATTCAACAAAGACTTGCTATATGCAAGACTCTGAGCAGGAATATTAGCTGCATAGAGATGTAATAAATGGGTGTTAGAGTCCCAAGCTACTGACAAAAACTTAGTTCATATAATACTGTATACCAGTCATTAATTAAAAAGTGGCAGTATCTTTTTCTTTTGAACATCATTACATTTTTCTAAATATATCAAAACATCAGCCAACACTTCTCTAGACTCCTCACAGACAAGGTATGGCTAGAAGCTCGCTGTGGATCCCAGGTGAGAGCACTGAGGGCAGGTGCAATAACAAAGTGGCCCTTAGAGACGCTAATGGAAGGTACCTTCCACATAGAAGGTGCCTCTCTCCTGTTTTCAGTGGAGTACCATGACATGTCTATGTAGCACACATGCAGACGTACTTTAGGAAAGGGCTGGGGGGAAGAGAACAGAGGATGAGGCAGCAGGGGTCAGTAGGGTACCTGTGCTGCAGCGATACCAGTGGAACGGTTAAGTCCTTTGGTCCTGCTACTTATAGACAGAGACGTATATTTCTCAGGGGCCACTGCCTTTACTGTTAAAGCATAGTGGGTATTTCATATCTAATTAGAAAAGTGGAACAGTTATGATCTCTAAATATATATACCTTTTTGAAAACCCACAGTTTAAAACCACTGCAGTCAAGTCAATTCCGACTCACAGTGACCCACAGGGTTTCCAGGGCTGTAAATCTCTATAGAGGCAGTCTGCCACATCTTTCTCCCGTGGAGCTGCTGGTGGTTTCAAACTGCCAACCTTTCGGTTAGCAGTCAATCACTTTAACCACTGAACCACCTAGGGCTCGGTTTTGAAAATCCACTGTTTAACAGTAGATAATGGTTTTAATAAATTGTTACCTCCACACAATGAAATACTCTTCAGGCATTTTATAAAAGGATAAATTTCTGAATTTATTAATATGGAAAGATGCTAATAATTGGCATCTCAATTGAAAAATTAAAGTTAAAAAAGGTACAGGAAGTTCTCATTATCCAAAAATAACTAAAAACCTTCCTAACAATAAATCTACCTAAAATAGGGACTAAAATGTTATGGTGAGTAGTAGAGGACAAATTCTTTTCATGGGATTTTATCCTGTAAATAAAACTTAAAACTTTAAATCTATCTTAACACATGTGTAACAAAAATTTTGTTATAACTATAATTATGTACTCTTTCTAGGAGCTAATAAAAGTTAAGCCTTGAGAAACTGTTCACAGAAAACTGAATTATCACTCACTTTGCTTTCACAGTGCATTCATAAAGAATGATTCTGGGAAAACACATAAATCAACGGCATCTTCAAACTTCCCAAGGGCCAATGATACCAAAATTATTCCAGTTTGAAGCACTGATCATATCCATTAATCTCATCTTCAATCATTATCTGGTCTAATTCTGCCAGATCTTCTCATTTGTCAGTAGCTTTGTAAGTCAGTCAATCCCTTTTTCAATATCACTTTCATCAACTTCATGAAATTCCCTATCTTTTACAAAATTTGCAATACCACTATTAAAAATAAGAATTTTATCTTTGGATGCTTCATTAGCGAGAACTCAACCTGAAAATGACTTATACCTGATAAAAAGGATAAAACCATGAGGACTGAGAGGCCTATTTTATAAGCAGTCAACTGATTACTGAATTGTATTATGACCATTTGACTTCCCTATATAATTCTGTGACTGCTGGGGCTCAGAAAATGAACAGCTAGATATCCAGAACCTACATATTAAAAAAAACAAAAAAACCCTATGTATAGTTGTCAGCCATATTTATTATTATATTTTTGTTCGATGAATTTCTGCAATTACCATTTATAACTTAACAGTAGTACTTAAAAGTAACCAGAAAAAATTTGTGTGTGTCCATTTTAAATTATTTCAAAAAGAATAAAGAAAAGTTATGATTCTCTAATCTACAACCTACATAAACATGTAGCGAGAAAGCATTAACAGTTGGTCAATACAGAATATGCTACTTCCAATACCTGGAGAAGACGTGGATACAAGCTGGTGTTTATCCTTTGCCTTCTGAGAAGACAGTATTGTACAACCCATATAAAGAGCTTGAGATTGCAGCACTGTTTTCACACTGCAATTGAGTGGATTTGAAAGGCTAGAACCATAGGTCCATAAAACAGAAAAGAACTTGAATAACTGAAAAACATCTTCTAGATGTACCTAATTTGAAAAAAAAAAAAAGTTTAATTCTTATACAAAATAAGTAAGTTGGCTCCAAATCCTGTTTTCACTAATGTACAATTACAGACGGCAAATAACTTATTGCAAATGTTTTGCTTTGTCTAAGCAGACCCTTAACAATTATTCTATATTTGGTACTTTAGCCAACCGGCAAGGATATAAATGAACAGTGATATTCAGATGCCTCACTATAATTCTGCACTTTAACACGCTGAACAAAAGACAAGGACACTAAGTGGAAAACTCAGACAAGTGTGGTGTCTGGGAAACTTCATTAATAAAGCACTTCAGAGATGCAGTGATCAACTTCTGCTGTGCCAAATGCTGCTGACAGAGCAAGTTAGAAAAATGAAGAACTGACCACTGAATTTAGTAAGATGGAAGGGTCACTGATGCCTGTGACAACATTCCTTAACTGAGTGGCTGTGCGCATATAACATCTCTGAATATATGTTTTCTCATTTATAAAATGGCACCAAATCAACCACACTGACCGGGCTGCTGTCATTATTAAATAAAATGAGGGACTAATGAACGCATGTGTATGCATGCAGCAATGTGTACCTCTGTCCAATCTACTGGTAGATGTCATGGTCACAATACTGCTGTACAGAGGCTGTGCTTATTCTCATATACTCATCACTGCTTAAAAGTCTACTTTCATTTTCCCAAGTATGAACTGTCATAATTAAAATAATCTATAACATCTTCTTAAACTATCTGTGTGTCTAAAAGGGATGAACCTAATACCTTTATGAAAAGTTTCATGAGAACCCTGAAATGAGTGGCATCAGCACCAGCGAGTATAATCTCAAAGAGCTCAATAAGCAAGTGCAGATAGTCTCTGCTCTCTTCTTTCAGTTGCTCAGGATTCCACCATCTATCATCTATGTGGACAGGAAGACAAAGAAAAACAATGCATAAACCTAGGTGAATATGCTGCTGGAAACTTTTCAATCAAGACAAAGAATAATCATGGAGTCAATACATTCAGTTTTCCAGAGTATCACACTGAAAAGATTCACAGGTTGTGGCTTACCTTTAGAAAAACACTTAGGAACCTTCAGTGCATGAATAAAATTTTTTAGTGCAAATACAAGTAAGACAGAGTCCTCCACAGCAATCATCTGACCCGTGTTCAGCTGTTCTATGTAATGTGCCCATAACTCCACTGGTAAGCCTCTGTCTAACATCAGCTCACAATGCCATTCTGGGGGGATCTCCTGAAATGTTAAAGGAAACAAAAATCAGTATAAACTTAAAGGATTCTTAACATGGGTTCTGTGGGTGCACTGCAGGGATGCATGAGTCCCTTTGGGTAATATGCAATATTTTATCTACATATGCATTTTGGTGGAAAGGGGAATAGTAGCTTTCATCAGATTTTAAAAGAGATCTATCACTATTCACAAGAAAAGACATAGATACATTATCTATGGCTTCATTTTATCTATTTTTACTTAAACATCATACCTTAAAAATTTTATTCATGTAAGTTGTATTTATCAAATAAAGGGGAGGAATGACCAGGAAGGTCTCTAAAGAGAACAACGAGGAGCTGGATTTCCAAGAGATCCTTAAAGGGACTACTCTCATTTTACAATTTTATTGCTAATCTGAAGAAAGTATACAGTATAATCTCCAAATTTACAGATGAATCTAAACAAGGAGCAAAACGTTACTGCAAATGCCAAAAGGGAACGTGAGTAAAGATGCAGGAAAGTGACGAATGAGACTACGTATAGGTGAGTGCAGAGCAGTAAACTGGAGGAAAAACAATCCAAAACCACTTCTGAGATAATGTCTTTAGGGAAGAGTTTGATTGGCTCAGTTTGTCATATAGCCAAAAAGATACTCATGACCCTCAGAAAGGATATTTAAACAAAAAGCAATCTTTTATCTGCTTATATATACTAATACGCCAATTTGACCACACTTTGAACACTAGGAACAAGTGCAGTTTAGGTTATCATACCTCACAAAAGATAAAAAGAAGTGGGAGGTTAAAAAGGGTCCATCTGGGCTACTTTTTAAAATATGAGGGTGTACTCTCTTAAAGTATACATAACTTTAGCTAAAAATGGCTATGACCAGAACTTCTAAAATACTGAGGGCATATACAAACATGAAAAAGATGTTATTCTTTTAGAAAATCCTCTAATGAGGAGCCCTCTGAGGTTTGGAGGACAAATAAAAACAAAATACTATTATACACAGCAGATATAAAAAACAATAACTGTGTTATCTTAAAGAGGTGTTACTAGGTAAAAATACAAACAGCTAAAACACGTTCCTTAGTAATACTGTTGAAGACAATAATAGGCAACGGAAAGCCAAGTCTAATGTAATATAAAAATTAAAATAATAGAAAAGATCTGTTTTTAGTAAACAACAGAATGAAGTAATACTTTGTTCAAGAACTAACATACCAAGAGATACATTCATCACTCGAGGTACTTAAGTATAACTTGGAGAGCTATACAATAAAGATAATAATAAGGATTCAAACATCAGATACAAAACTTTGCAACCTTGAAATTCTGTAATTCAATTAAATTTTCTGCAAAAGCAAGGCAACCATCTAATCCACTACCATTACCTAAGGCTGCTCCGCATTCTACCCAGCCAGTATCCACTGACTCAGTATCCCAGCCCCAGTCGTCCCGGCTTTGCTGTGACTAACAGCCAAGTGGTCACTCTCCTCAGCACTCAACTCTCCAAGAGACTTTGTGCTCCTTACCACTGCAGTAATGACACTTTCCAACTTCTTTATTTTTTTCTGCAACAAACCAAAGACTCTCATCGCAAATGGAAAGTGAGTTTCCTTTAAAGATGAACAGCAACCGACAAGCACAGACGTGATCACGTGAAACGTCACTTTCTGCCTCAGGTTACAGGCCTCCTTTTCACCAACACTTATTAAATCCTCCACCTTGAAAAGGAAACACACGTGTTACTGCCAGCTCTCGGTTTTCATAAAGCCATTGTTGTAGTTCAGGTCTATCAGGGAATCAAGTGTTTTAAATTAAAAAGAAAATGACAAATACAAAGCCTTAAAAAAAAGTAGTTAAGTACTGATTTCTAAATAATTACAAAAACAAACAATTTCAGAAATTGTAAAGAATATGACTGCACTTCCCAATTGGATAAATGTTTCGAAAATCACAAACCTAATACTTTCACAAAAGCTTTTTACTATTAAGGCAAAAGTATTTTTCTCCTCTTTTAGGTTATATTTTACTCTTCTGACAAAAAATATGGCTACATTCTAATATTTTAAATGAGAATGAGAGAAAAACAACTGAAATGTACACACTATTCTTATGGGTCCAATATAGAATCACGTTGAAAAAACTGATTCAAAATGTTAAGGATTTCAAATAACCTGCAGAATATACTAAACAACACTGTACATGTTTAGAACAAAACAACAGAGTCCTCAGAATACCAAAAAAAGAATGAGAAGGAGGAGGAGGAGGAAGAAGGATGAAGAAAGAGGAAGGAGGAGGAGAAAGGTGAGAGGGAAGAGGAGGAGAGGAAGGAGCAGAAGCAGCAGCGGAAGCAGCAGAATCCAGGAAAGCAAAAGCTGAGAACTTGGCAGTTATGAGGTGGAAATCTAGGGGTGGACTATGACAGTATACCTACCATCTTTAACATTGAAGAAGGATCCCCTGAATTTATATTATCCGCCAACAATCGAATTATCTTCTGATTTGCTATACCAGTGAGTTTTCCTGACTTTGTGCTTTTAAACACATTTTCAAGAGCTGTTAAAGAAAATCGCATAAAGAAACCACTTGTGTGACTAACACTCACCCAAAGAATCATGTGAAATAAGGAATGCAGGTGAAACTTTACTATTTTCCTATGAAGTTTGTTTGTTTTTTTCCTTTTAGCCAAATCTGAATCTGTCTGTAGGTCTACTTCCTTTTCATTGTATACTTTTTAACAAAATTTTTAAAAAATCTTACTGGTGTATAACTTAACAAATACAACTTTAAAATAACAATTATAGCCAATTTTTTTTACTGTACTTAACTTCTTTTCAAATTTTATCTATTCATTTTTTCTATAGAAACAATTTTTTTACCTTCTTTCCAGCCTCTTAATAGAGGGTGCAGAGAACAAATTCCTGATTTTGATAAATATACAGCAATTTTCATCTCAGCAGATTCCTTATCATCACTGATGATGACCATATACGGCAGCAAATGCACCACCACCTGATTTGCCAACTGGTAGTTTTCACTCAGGATCTCTTCTTTAACTAATATGTCTGCTGCTATCTCAAGTACCTTGTACCTAAAAGATATGCATGCACATCTGCTTGACAAACACATCACATACTTCTATTCAGCAAAAATTCAACATTGCATTATTTCACCTCAACTAACAATACCCTGGCCTCCTTATCAAAAATAATGCCAGAGCTACCAAGACATTACTTAAAGTTCACGCTGATAAACAAGTTAGCAGGAACAATAATTTTAAATTCTAACCCTCGCAAATCTATTTTTTTTGAAGACACTGTTGTTGTTAGGTGCTGCCGAGTTGGTTCTGACTCATAGCAACCCTATGTATATCAGATGAAACACTGCCCCGTCCTGCACCATCCTCACAATCATTGCTATGTTTGAGCCTACTGTTGCAGCCACTGTGTCTATCCATCTCTTTGAGGGTCTTCCTCTTTTTCCAGGACCCTCTACTTTACTAAGCATGATGTCCTTCTCCAGGGACTGGTCCCTTCTGGCAACATGGCCAAAGCATGTGAGACAAAGTCTTGCCATCCTTGCTTCTAAGGAGCATTCTGGCTGTACTTCTTCCAAGACAAATTTGTTCATTCTTCTGGCAGTCCATGGTATATTCAATATGATTCTCCAACACCATAATTCAAAGGCGTCAGTTTTTCTTTGGTCTTCTTTATTCATTGTCCAGCTTTCACATGCATATGAGTGACTGAAAATACCATGGCTTGGGTCAGGTACAGCTTAGTCCTCAAAGTGACATCTTTGCTTTTCAACACTTTAAAGAGGTCTTTTGCCACAGAATTGCCCAATGCAATACATCATTTGATTTCCTGACTGCTACTTCCGTGGGCGTTGATTATGGATACAAACAAAATGAAATCCTTGACACTTCAATTTTTTCTCCATTTATCACGAGGTAGCTTACTGGTCACTGAGACATCATTAGGTTAACAAACGAACAAATAAAAAAAAACAAAAAAGCAAACGTGTTGCTGCCGAGTCGATTCCAAGTAATAGCGACTCTGTAGGACAGAGGCGAACTGCCCCATAGGGTTTCCAAGGACTGGCTGGTAGATTCAAACTACCAACCTTCTAGTTAGCAGCTGAGCTCTTAACCACTGCGCCACCAGGACTCCATCATTAGGTAAAGTATAACATAAAATATATGGCATTAAATGTCCACCCCACTAGAAGTCAGAGATTCACTCATTCACTCCTATCTGCTAAGAACTTGATATGGCGGATACAAAAACATGTAACACATGCTTAGTCATTTTCTCATGCTAAAAGCTTAGGTGCCAAAAATGAAATAACCAGAATTCATCAAATACTTAATACAGAAAGGATCACGTGCCTCTGAAATTACTGTTGTTTAATATATTTGGGTCTGTTCTTAAATTATAAAATGTTATTCTTATAAAAACATCAAATATATAGCTACATAAAGTACAAAATTTAACCTCCCTCCCATCCTACTTCTCAGAATTCAGTATTATCTCATACATTATATACTTCTTTTTACATGTTTATTATGAAAAAAATTCAAACACAGAGAATAGTATAACAAATCCTCACAAACTCAAATTACTTTTACAATGGAAGAAAGTATCACATTAAGATCCATTTGACTACCATGGCCAAAAGGTCATATAATTAAATTGTAAGTCAAAAAAAAGTTTAAAAAAAAAAAAAGAATATCAATGTGAACTTGAAACAAAAATGTTATCAACTCAGAAGAATATAAGGAGAAATGAATACATACCACTCCCTATTCTTTGAAGGTTCTGCTCTTTGAAAGAGGTTCAGAAGATTTGCAACAGTTACTTCTGAACTAAAGTGTTGTTTGAAAATCTAGGAGAAAAAAAAAAATCAATGAGTAAATCTTATTTGTTTCAAATACACACAGTGCTTTTTAAGTGAACTTCAAAAAATAATAAATTTTAAAGAATTTATCTCCCAAGAATCCTAGTGTAACTTAAAAGGTTTATGAGAGCAATTTTTCAAAAGTGACATTCACGAACTAATTTTCCATGGTCCCAAGACATTTACCATTGATAAAAATATATTAAAAGCAATATAAAAATTTACAAGGCACTTATCCTTTTTGAGGAAATTTCATATACATCAAATTATACAGTCTAATTATTCTCATGTGCTTCCCCTAACCAGGCTTAGTCTGTGCTCTCCAGAGTACAAATTTGCAGTGGTAGAATAATTTGAAATATTTTCTTGCTTAGAGCACAGATTTATGTGAGAAGGGCCAAGAAAATATTTATAAACAGAAATTACATTTCAACGAGTAACAAATTCACTCACCTCAAAAGCACTTAGAGCTGACAGAACAACATCTATACTATCATCACCTAATCGGGTTAAAACAGCTTCTTTTATGAAAGACTCATCAATACTCTCCTGGGGGAATAGAAAAAAAATATGAATTTTCTGGTTGCTAAAAACTTTGTAAGACTTTCCACTAGAAAGAAAGCAGGGTTTCATGGAAAGCACTCCAGAAAACTAGTCAAGGATTACAGGCTCTGCCCTGGCTGAGACACTCAAACATCTAAGCACACTTGCATTGAACTAGATAATCCCTAGACAGTCTTTTTAGATTCTGTTTGGTACAAACTTTTTCCAGTTTCCACTGAAAACATAATCAAATAAGATGTATAATCCAAATATAATCTTTCCACTGAGGAATTCAACTGGTTAAAATAAGAGTCTGCATGCTGAAGTGCATAGACTATGGAATCAGAATGCCTATGTTTAAATCTCAAGCTCTGCTACTAGCTGTGTGACTCTGGGTAAGTTACTTAAACTTTCTGGGTTCTCATCCAGAAAACAGGGTTAAAACAGTACCTATCTCAAACGGTTGTGAGAGGATTATATAGTATATGCGAGGGCTTTGAATAGTGTGTGCCTTACATGTAGTAAGTACTGTTAAAAGTTAGCTATTACTGTTATCTAGATTTTTATAAGGATAAGGACAAGTATTGCAAAGCCAGTGTGCCAAAATTAGGTATCCTATTTTTCAAAGTAACAAAAAATAAATAAATAAAAAAGACTGACAACTGAATAGATTCCTACCTGGAGGAGGTAAAAAGAAAAATGTTATGAAAAACAGGTCACTCTGTTGGGAGAGAAACTAAAATCCCTAGAATTCACAAAACTTAAGTCGAAGTTTCATGTGTCAATGCCACCAAAATTTCCTTAAGCATTAAAAAAAAAACAAAAAAAAAAACGAAACTCGTTGCTGTCAAGCCAATTCCGACTCATACGAACTCCATAGGACAGAGTAGAACTGCCCTATAGGGTTTCCAAGGAACAGCTGGTGGAAGGCTAACCTTCGAGTTAGCAGCTGAGCTCTTAACTACTGTGCCACCAGGGCTCCTACAAGTATCCAAATATCCCAATCTGGAATACTAGAACTTACGTACTATCAATGATAGAGAAGGGAAAACGAAATCTGACATGCAAAGAAAGGCATTAGCTGCAATTACAATATCTGAGCCTTTAACTTGAATGTACTCTGAGCCTTCCGTTAAAAAACTAACCAAATCCATCGCCCGACAGGGGAAAGGATTAAGAGTTACAGAAGAAAGGATAAGAATAGCTTCAGGAACATCAGCAGGTTCCAGGAATCCCTTTTTATTCTAAAAACCAAAACCAAACCCACTGCCATTGAGTCATTCCGACTCAGAGCGACTCTATAGGGCAGAGTAAAACTGCCCCCATAGGGTTTCCAAGGAGCAGCTAGTAGATTCAAACTGCCAACTTTTTCGTTAGCAGCCATAGCTCTTAACCACTGTGCCGCCAGGGATCCTAGATAGCTAAAACTCTCTAGCACAAAAAAGACCAGTATTCAATGAGTTCAATTATTCAATAAGTCAGTAAGACAAAGTTATCAGCACAATCTGTGAAAGAAACAATGTGTGCCAGATTAGAAATGAATCAAATGAGGAAACAATTTTCAAACTGAAGCACTACATCAACCCCTTTAAAGAAACAGCTCACAGAGCCTCATATTGCTTTAAATTATTTTATTATTTATATACCAATTTAAAACCTACTTAAAATATAAAACAAACAAAAATCTGTAAGTCAGATATAAAAAGACCTACAAAATCAGTAAAACTCAAATTAATTTAATGTGATACTTTTGTTTAGCTGAGATTAAATTTTACTTGTAATATGAATCTGGTTCTAATAGCTATGCCACAAGTTCTTAAATTCAGCATGTTTATACTACTGCAGGCTACTAAAAACCCTGATACCACTTTTCTCTATTCCAGAAATTTTCCAAATATACAAATATGGTATATGAGTTATTTTATGCATTACGTATTCCTACTTTAATTACACTAAAAAGTATTTTAACACTTCAAATCCACGATTTGAGATTATATAAAAAAAAATAACGAGTCCATTTAAAACAAGCCAAAAAATTTTTTTTAAGAAAATACTATCAGTGGCAAGCAAACACACCAAAAGTTGTGAAGGTCTTGCTTGAAGGATGCAAGTTTGGGAAACACTGTTCCATTTGAATCACTGCACAGTCTCTATAAAGTATCACTTTGGTGTAAATGCATTATTTACAAATTGAATCTGCCTTCTGTACTATTTGGAGCCACCATAATTTTAAATACAAATGAAACTGCAAGCACTAAGATCACAGAGCAGTGCTCGTTATAAAGTTATCATTCAGATGACCCAAAATATGCTTCTTAAACCTAAGATTATCAAAATCAAATATCAAAACTAACAAAGTCTCTGAGAATTTGTGAACTTCTGTGAATCTGCTTATAAATTCCAGTTTGACAAACACTGAAGTTAAACTAATAATTTACAATGTAGAAACATATGAAAACAGTTGTTACTAGGGCATGTACAGGTTAAAATGGTGGCTACAGGAATGTACAGTCCTAAATCTTTGTCCAAAATACACCCATCTGCCTTATTCAGCTCATCGCTATCATTACATAACATCAATCCTAAGTAGTAACTTCAGTGTCGTATTCTAGAATTGCACTGCTCATCATAAGGAAAAAAACAAAAACAAATAAAAGCTATTTTACACAAACCTTTGATGTTTCCATGAGATTTTTCAGATGATTAACGGCCAGAAGTCTCACAGGAGCAAGTGGATGATTCAGACTGAGCATCAAGGAGGTATCAGAATCTGCTAAAAACTGTAGGGTTCATCGTAATTATCAAATGATTTCACTATAAGATCTGAGCAGCATACGCTCAACAAGAACCTGACAAAAATCACCTAGAATGCCCAACATATTCAACAGCAACTATCAATTTCACAAACCAACAAGTAAAGCAAAATGTTTTCTGCACAACATGATACAAGTTACAAGAAATCCAAGATTTGCACTAATTTTATGGGTATGATTTTGTGTAAACTTGTGTCTGTGTAGGTTTACTTTAGTGAAGAATTATATGAAGTAATTTTGTATTCTTTATGTATACCTGATTCCAAAGTGAAAAGCACCTAAATAGAAATATTAATCAAAAAAGTATATCACTGAAGACAGAATGCAACTCATCTAAATGATACAACAGTGATATTCAAATGAATGACTACTTAGTTTACTTATATAATTAGACTGAGAAGGCAGTTCATTAATTTAAGATTTGGAATTAAAACACCATTAAAGATAGCAGTTTTTATGCAAGAAAAAAACTAATCATGTTTCTCTTCATAAGATCTATTTTTAAGGCTAATTATAAGGCTTTCTGCTTAGATATGTCAAACTTCTAGTAAAAAGATTCAGGGTACAATCACCAGGTAATTTCTGCAGTTCTAACATGATCACGAAATCAAAAAGCAACCCTCTTTTCCTAATCGATAATTTAAGTAGCCATATATGGCTAGTGAGCACTATATTAGACATTGCAGATCTGAGAGAAAGATAAGGAACACTAGAAGCCTATGTGAAGCCCTTGCTTAGTGACTGCTAATGAACGTCACGTATAGTACCCAACACAATACTTTTTCCTGAAACAAGTATCATGCTCATACTTACTTAAAAATTACTATGCCAGTCTCTAATTATTCAATTCCTGCCTCAGAACCTTACTGCAGGTAACTGAGCAAACTATAAATGTCATTCTCTATGAAACGTTCTCAAGAGGGTAGGAAAAGAAGCATATTGCCTTTTGCAGTTCTTCAAATAATCACACAAATATACTCCGCTCATAATTCCTCTGGAGAAGAACAGCCTACCTGATACTTTCCTCCACTTGTAGAAAGAGAAATAAATTGGTGAAAAAGCTCTTGTTTTTTTAGATCTGTGACTTCCTTTAGGTGTTCCTCTAATACAGTATCTAAAGTTCTGGGGTATCTGGGAAGAAATCAAAGAGTTAATTCATTATTTTTAATAAAGTTATTAACATACACACCATGTATAAAGGAAAGACATAAACCAAAATTTTAAAAACTTACTGAGACTGAGACTTAATAACCTACAAATTTTAATAGTATACATAAAACCAAATAGTAATGATATACTCCAATAGCAAAAACATAATATCTCTATAAAAAATTATACTCTCCACAGTCCACATACAACCCTTATTTTCCTCTTATATTTCGAAAATATTTAATTCCTACATCCATCCCTTTCTAAAGAGGAAAAAAGAAAAAGTATAGTCTCTTTACAATTCGCTATATTATTATGACTTGGGAATCATATCTTTATACCACAGCAGATTCACATTAAAGAAGGGGAAAAACACACACAACTTACCTGCTTTCTAGAAGTCTAATAAGTGGAAGAAACTGTTCATTAAGCAAAGATACTTTATTAGAATCACTTTCTTCCTGTGAGCTATATGAAATATACTCTTCAAAAAGAATGCTGCAAGACAAAACAAAAATATTAGCACAGATGAGTTACCATTTACTGAGCACCTATGTTCTAGGTACTTTAAAAATATTATCTCTGTCACACTGCTACAAGATATAACTTGTAATACTTACAGATACAGAAAGTAGGGCTAAGAAATCACACACTGTGCCTGAGGTCAAATTATAACTGCAACAACAGCCAACATTTGGTGATCCCTTATGTGTCAAAGTCTGATTCCAGAGCCCAAACTCTCAATAGCACTTCATGCATACACTTTCATTTAATTCACAAACCAACCCTCTGAGCAAGGGGAACAAATAATGCACACCAGCAGTTAGGTACCTGCCAACGTTATACAATGGCAGACTTAAATCCAGGCAGTCTGACACCAGAACTTAATAATGCCACTCTACTGGAAGTGGCAGAGGCAGGATTCAAATCTAGTTCTCACTGCAATGCCTACATTCTTTTCACAGTACCCAGTTGCCCTTTATTTAAGAAAAGAGAAAAAGGAGACTAAACTATCTTCAGGAGTAGGAAGAAATAATCTTTACTGTATGCCTACCCTCAATATGGAGCCCTGGTGGCACAGCGGTTAAGTGATACGGCTGCTAACCAAAAAGGTCGGCAGTTCGAAATCCTATGGGGCAGTTGATAATTACCAAATACCAGTTGCGATGTACTGTTTCAGGTATTTTAGCCCATTTATTAATAGAAGACTTTCAGCAGCCACAAACCATATTTAGATATAGCCCAAACCAGGCTTAACCATTAACTTTCCTATATGATGTATAAGCACTAACAATTAACAAGAAAAATTACTTTTGCTTTTTCTGCCGCCACAACTACAGGATTAAGTACTGACAAAATGTAAATTAAAAGCATGTCAAAAATAGTAGCTGAGAGATCAAACTATTGGTCTCTCTCATCCAGAGCTAAAGAGAAAGAAGGAAACCAAAGATTCAAAGAAGAAACTATCTGCAGAACCTATAGTTTACATGAACAATGACATCCCCTACCTTGAGACCTGAGGAACTACATGGCGCCGGGTTACCACTAGCACTCAATAGATGGTCCCGGATAGAACAGGAGAAAAATGTCGAACGAAACTTAAATTCCTAAGAAAAGGCCAGATTTACTGGACAGATAGAGACTAAATGAACCCTGAGACCACTGCTCTGAGATAGTATTCAAATTTGGAACTTAAACCACTCCCAGAAGTCACCTTTCAGCCAAATGACAGGTTGGCCCACAAAATAAATAATACCACCCAGGAGTACTGTGCTCCTTAAAATAATCATCTAGATGAAACCAAATGGTTAATATTTATCTTAGACCAAAGAAGAGGAGGCTAGGGGGAACAAGGAAGCTAGATTAATGGAAAGAGAACAACCAAAATGGAAATTACAAGAATGCTGATACATTGTGAAGAACGTAACCAATGTCACTGAATGGTTAAGTATGGAAATTGTTAAATGAGAACCTAATTTCCTATGTAAACTTTTACCAATAATACAATAAAATATTTTTAAAAACAGTAATAATAATAGCATAGAGAATGTCATAGAAGATGGCAGAATAGAAAGCTCCAGGAATTAATCCCCCTACCAAAACAACTCCTGAGCTGGCAAGAAGTCACTAGAATCAATTACTTCAGCACTATGGAGTCTAGCTGAACATCTGCAGTGTCCAAAGGAGTACCTGATGAAGAAAGAGACTGGCACTCAAGGAGATCTCTGTCAGGCCACTGGCTGATTGCAAAGATAACAGAACAGAGACTTAGGTACCATACACGACCACGAATATAATCTACAAAAACAGTTAGAAAACATAACTAAACAAACAGACTACTGCAGCCCTTAAGAAGAAACAACACAATGCCTGGGGAGGGGGGAGAATCTAATTACGAAAGTTGTAACGTTACAACATTCAAAATGTCAAGTTCTCAACAAAAAGTTAAAAAGCATACAAAGAAACAGGAATATATGGCCATTCACAGCAAAAAATGAAATTGACAGAAACCATTCATGAAGAAGCCCAGACCATAGACATACAGACCAAGAATTTAAATTCACTTCTTAAACGTGCGCAAAGAGCTGAAGGAAACCATAGACAAAGAACTAAAGGCATTCAGCAGAACAATACGTGAACAAGTAAGGAATATCACTAAAAAGATAGAAATTATAAAAAGGAAGCAAAGAGATATTCTAGAGTTGGAAAATATGACAGTTGAAATGATAAACTCACGGGAGGAATGCAACAGCAGATTTGAGACGGCAGAAGAATCAGTGAACTTGAATACAGAGCAATTGTAACAACTAAGTCTGAGGAACAGGAAGGAAAAAGAATGAAGAAAGAATAAGCAGCTCCTAAGTGACCTACTGCATAGTTTCAAGTCAGGAAAGGTGTGCATCAGGGTTGTATCCTTTCACCATACTTATTCAACCTGTATGCTGAGCAAATAATCCAAGGAGCTGGACTATGTGAAGAAAAACAGGGCGTCAGGACTGGCAGAAGACTCATTAACAACCTGCAATATGCAGATGGCACAACCTTGCTAGCTGAAAGTGAAGAAGACTTGAAGCACTTACTGAGGAAGCTCAAAGACCACAGCCTTCAGTATGGATTACACCTCAACATAAAGAAAATAAAAATCCTCACAACTGGACCAATAAGCAACATCACAATAAAAGGAGAAAAGATTAACGTCAAGGATTTCACTTCGCTTGGATCCACAATCAATGTCCATGGAAGCAGCAGTCAAGAATCAGACGATGCACTGCATTGGGCAAATCTGCTGCAAGAGATCTCTTTAAAGTGTTAAAAAGCAAAGATATCACCTTGAAGACTAAGGTGCGCCTGACCCAAGCCATGGTGTTTTCAATTGCCTTATACGTATGTGAAAGCTGGACAATGAACAAGGAAAACCGAAGAACTGACGCCTTTGAATTATGGTGTTGGCAAAGAATACTGAGTATACCATGGATTGCCAGAAGAATGAACAAATCTGTCTTGGAAGAAGTACAGCCAGAACACTCCTTAGAAGTGAGGATGGTGAGACTTCATTTCCTGTACTTCGGACATGTTATCAGGAAGGACCAGTACTTGGAGAAGGATGTCACGCTTGGTAAAGTAGAGGGTCAGAGAAAAAGAGGAAGACCCTCAATTAGATGGACTGACACAGTGGCTGCAACAATGGGCGCAAACATAGCCAACAATTGTGAGGCTGGCACAGGACCAGGCAATGTTTCATTCTGTTGTACATAGGGTCGCTATGAGTCAGAATCGACTTGACGGCACCTAAAAATGATAGTAACACAGCTGTTATTAGCCGCCCTGGTGGCTCAGTGGTTAAATGCTTGGCTGCTAACTGAAAGGTGGTGGTTGGAATCCACCAGCAGCTCCACGGGAGAAAACACTTGGTGATCTGCTCTTGTAAAGATGTCAGTTGCCTAGGAAACCCTACGGAGCAGTTCTACTGTCATACAGGGTTGCTAGAGTCAAAATTGATTCAATGGCATACAATAACAATATAGTTGTTATTAAAAACAAAAAATAAATAAAAATAATAGCTTACCTAGCTAACAAATGGTCTAAGTTGTTCTTCAGAGATATATTTGTGAGTATAGCTTCTAAGTGTCTCCTGTAGATTTCACCATCTCTCTCTTCAGATTCTTCTCCTTAGTATGTAGTGATTTTAGAATAGAGTTGTAGAAATGTTTTATACATGCTCACGCTATTACATTTATTTTTAGCAGAAAACTTTTTTATAAGGATAATTTTAAAACATATGTATACAATGATACCCAACTTTTTACCTATATTCAAAGTGTATTCCACCTATTTAATGGTTTATATTTTTCAAAGCATTTTTATATACATTACCCTCATTCGTCTTTTACCTGAAACTGTCTATAAAACAAGTATTATCATGCGTATTTCACTAGTGAAACAAAAGTCCAGAGAATATACATTCTTTCCCTAGGAGATATTCTAAGTTCGTGGTGAAGTTAGTACATGAACCAAGACCTCAATAAATTATCTCTGAAAACAAGCTAAACTTCCACCTCAGTACCTCCATACTGAAGCAAAAGCTGTCATTTTCTATTCCAGATTTACTAATAATGTATAAATCTGACGTGTGCCCCTGCCTTTAAAGACTAGGGACCACAATACTCATCAACATCAGAAGAGGAATACACTTTCATTTTTGCTAGTCATGCTTTTAATACGCACGTTTAAACCCACATTTGATTAAGTAAATCTTATTTTCCAAAAGACTGATATAATTTTAGAGACATTTTTCTTAGCATTTCTACAAAAAGTAATAGGACCAAGTGTTTCTTCCTTAAGTCCTTCCATATTTATTGAAAAGTAAAAACAAATAACATATGTATCATCACTTCCTATTAGTAATTTGGCTTTTTTTCTTTCTTAATTTGGATTTTTTTTTTCATGAGATTTTCTTGGTCTTACATTTTTAAAGGCTCTAGGAAGAAAACTGACTTTTTGGCAATTAGATGATATATTTATTGTAAACGAATCACTAAAGTCCGTTAAATACCTAAATATGAAGAAAAAGGTTTACTCGGTAATATACTTTTACTTAAAAAAGTAAGTCTATAGTATTTTTCAAGTAAAAACTGTTTAAGAATACGTAATTTTTAAAAAACAGAATTCTGGTGATATTGGTTAATTTACCAGGTTACCAGGTTAATTTACAAGGATATCTCTTAAACCAACCTGCTTCCCACTCCAAATTTTCCCTCTTGAGAAACACAGATGAGTTACATAAAAATAATTGGATAGCAGATGTTCCAAATATTTTTAAGATATTAAAAAGGATGTTCCTATTTTAAGAGAATCAAACCCTAGAAAGTAAGTTTCTGGACACAAAATGCAAAACCACATACCTGTAACATGATTAATGATGGAAACAACCAGGTGGGGAAGCATGTAACGCAGAAGAGGACTGATGTCATATCTTTCAGAAATTCCATGAAGTATTGTAATAAGATCAGGAACATTACATAAGTGAGGAAATGGCCTTTGAAGAAGCAAGTACACATGATGTTGACTTTGCAAGTTAGATAATGAACGGCCATTTAAAAAAATAGGTTATCATTTAACCTCCAAAAAATTTTTCAAAGGAATTTCACCTGTAATTATCATCGTTTCTCAATTCAGTTATACTTACTTTTTCCCAAGGCTGTCTGGCTTCTGTCTCTGCAGGAGTACTATCAAGCAACCTAGTCCATCCTTGATCAAAGAGGGGATTTTGGTCAATGTTCTGATGAGCTGTGATGCCAGTGAATTAACAAAGGTATCTTCCATGGTCACTTTCACAGAAATCTGACATATTATCATGTATGTTGCGGCTCTGTAATCTGGTAAAGATGATTTCAATCCCTAATATTTTTTAAAATATAAAAAAGGATAAACTATATTACTTTATCCAATTTAAAATGTTACTTTATCCCGACAAATAAAAAACCTCGTAAGTTACTGTTTAATACAATATAGCGCATACTGAGAGTCAACCACTTTTTGGAAGTGAAATATTAAGGTGTTGACCCCTGTTCTGAGTAGACACAGAAATAAGACAACTGTCCTGGATTAGAAATGGGATCTCAGGTATCCCAACTGAAAACATTACCATTACACATCCTAACAGGAGTCAGCAAGCTCTTCTTTTATATGTAAACACCTACTCTTGTAAGTAAGGGAGACTTCCATCAGGTCACTAACAGATCTGAAAAAGTATCTGATTAAAGAAGACAATAATTTTGGGACGCTGATAGGAAGCCATAAGGAATACCTCAATGGGGAACCTGCAAAGACAGCAGGCAACAAAGCCCTTGGGAAGAAATAGCATTAAGAAGCTGATGCCAATGCAAAAACAATGGTAAGAGGCTGCCAATGCCTTGAACACATTTTCTAATCTACTCCCTTTCCAGTGAGGTAACTTGACTGTTAAGAAAATAGGTCCGGGCACATCCAAACTCCCCAAGGGACTGAATTACTGGGCTGAAGGCTAGGGACCATGGGCTTGGGGAACATCTAGCTCAATTGGCATAACATAGTTTATAAAGACAATGTTCTACGTTCTACAGTGGTGAGCAGCGTCTGGGATCTTAAAAGCTTGCGGGCAGCCATCTAAGATACTCCACTGGTCTCATCCCGTCAGAGAATAAAGAAAACCAAAGACACAAGAGAAAGATTATTCCAAAGGACTAATGGACCATAACTACCACAGCTTC